AAACCACAACAACGAAACCAATCAAAACATCCAATACACATCAAACACCAATACACCACCATCACCAACCGCCGCCCGAACTGGAGAACCAGCCCAAAAAGGGCCGCCGGCTAAGCTCCAACTGCAGCAGCCCTCCCGTCAGCTCCCACCGGAAGAGAACACGCTCGACCGAGGCCACCCCAGAACCGACCACTCCCCGCTCGCAGCAACTCCCCAAACCAGAGCCCACACAAGCACCACCACCAAAAGCTCAGCCAGCAACACCACCGACCCCGCCCGAACACCGCCAGCACGCACCAACCACAACAGCAAAAAGGCGAAACTCCGGGCAACACCACGAACAGACCGAAAAAAAAAAGAGAAAAAATAAAGAAGGGGAAGAAGGGGAAAAAGGAGGGGGAGCCGAAGCTCCCACCCCCCGCGACGAACCCACGCGAAAACCAAGAAAAACAACCTTCACCGGCGAAAGGGCGTGGAGAGAGAAATGACGAGTTGTGTTATTTTGAAGGTACTGTTAGTGTGTTTTATGTCAAAGATTAATGAGAATATGATCCAAGAAAAACAACCTTCACCGGCGGAAGGGCGGACAACTCCACTGGAGGAAGAGAGAGAAACCTCACGCTGGGGAGGACTAATCAAGAGTTTTGATGACATAATCTTGACGGAAATCAAACTTTCATATTCTATAGATAGACCTTTTATCTATCTTTGGAATGGTCCAGTTATGCAATTTTTGTTCAATTTGGGTAATTTGAAGTTCATGAGAATTGAAATCATCAAATGCAAATGAATGCTCTTGATCTAATTCTTCTTCATTTTGAAAAGTATTTGAAAGATTATGAGTTCTATTTCTAGAACTATCAGATCTCCTAAACCAATTTGAAATTAAAGACATAATTTGAATAAAATGAAATTATAATGACATACCACAGTAGACTCAATACTACATGATAGACTCAATCCAACCTACCATAATTTGAGGTCAACTCGTACTAATGACTGCTGTTATTGAGGAGACATAATGATTGGAGATTCCTTACACATTGTCAAACATCCAATCAATTAATTACATTTAGATAGGCTCATGACAGCACCTCCTAATTTTAACAATCATATTTTATAGCTTCATTCCCTAATTAGTTCATTAATTATTGGGGGCCACATGCAAGATAAATTCATGATGACCTGTTGGAGCTAACCTTATCAACCAATCAAAATATGCTATTAACGTACTTTCACAATTCGATACTGTAACTGATAAGACAAGAACATGATGTATACATGCCTATCCCTCCCTATAAAAAGGAGGAAGGTATCCTCAAGAAGAAAAAAAGGGGAACAACATTTCATACTTAAAATATCTCATTTGGTAAAAGAGGAAATGACTTGTAGTTTACTCTTGTAATTTAAAAGTCATTACCAGTGAAAATTCTCATTTACATTCTAAGTTGGCTTAAATTTTGTCTATACACTTTTCGACGTCAAAAAACTGTCTCAGCATTTTGTTTTATGAGTGTACGTGTCGAATGTAAGCATGTTTGATAAAATGAATTGTAAAAATATTCTATATTATTAAAGAAAAAAATCAAAATCTTGTTCAATGGGTGTGGTACACTTTGCAACACTAGACAATGTAAACTAACACACAACCATGTGAGTAAATTTTATCCATAATTTTTACTTTTATGAGAGAGCTATGACTAATGTTACTTATCATCATTATTTCAATATTAGATGTCACTGAATGAAACGCGTCACACATTATTATCCTTAGTTGAATTATAATCAGCATCATGTCATAGCGATGAATAATTATTTGATTTTAAGTGGAAATGAAAATTGATTCTTTGGGATGCATAAAAGCACTGAAGTATACCAAAATGGAATCTACATGATTCTAGCTAAAAAACAAAATTAAGGAGTGATTAAGTGCCTGCCAGTTGTTTCAACTGGATAATATAAAATAGGAAAACCATACATTACTTCATTTATGCTAGGTGATTTTATTTTTTTCCTAAATAAGATCGAGTTATAGAGAGAAATAAAAAATGGTTACTTTTCATTTTCTTTTTTCTATTTTTGATTAAATATTGGAATTGTACCCTTAGTTTATTTTTACCGTTTGACCTAAAAAGATAGTCGCATTGACAAAAATAGAAAGTTAGTTCTCGAACTGCTCTAAATTTGAATGATTTATTATGGTATGATCGAGTTCGATTTGATTGGGGTATATTTATGTATATTAATCAAGTTTTAGAAACATTTGAAAACCATGTTAAGCATATCCTATAAAATAAGATCATGTATAGTTTATTAGGTATCCTATGTAAAATATACACTTTTTTAAAATTTGAATATTATCAAATTGCAAGTACAAAGCATAATAATATCAATACAGTATTGTTTATAATAACTTTCAACTTGCACTCAAACCACATATAATAATTAATATGCCCATATTTAAGCAACGATTTATAAATCATCAAAAAATATGAATTAGTTTAATTATATTTTAGTTTATTTGTTTTCATTAATGATGAAACTTTTGTTATTGAGAAACTCCGTGTTGGTTAACTCTATTTATTATATAGTGCATTATTTTCAGTTAAACTCAAAAGTTTTAGCTCGATATATAATTTTAATGAAAACATCACGTGGGATAGGGATGGTAAAAAAATCTTTCAACCCGAAACTCGTTAGGCCCCGCCCCAAATGGGGTGAGGACGAGGCAAGGGTTGTTGCTTCGAAACAGGTACGGGACGGGTACTGGAATCATAGTCTCCCGCCCCGCTACCCGTCTCGTTTAAAGTTAATTTCGTCCCGTTGTCTTCCCTAGCATGGGAGGTATTTTTCTAAAGTGGTTCTTTAGTTTGTTAAATTAGTCTTGCTGATTTCAAGAGACGATCTATAGATTTAACAAGATAATTAGGGCTTAAGCCTCCGTTTATTTCTTATTTTTCATCCATAAAAATGAAAAATATGATCGTTATTCATCACATCAAGACATCAATTTTGAATTTCTATATCTTGTACGGGGTCCAATAACGATTATATTTTCCATTCTCATTCTACAATAATGAGAATCAAACGGGCCCCAGGACATACATGATATATTCGACAGAACGTGATAACAAATAAACTTTTGGATATGTGAATTTTATTTGATATGGTACGATCTAACCTATCAAATCTACATTAATTATTTGAATTGAATTTCTAAACAAATGACAGTGACATTGTTTGACGTATGCATCAGCAATATCATACGCTTGTATACCTATAAAAAAAAAGAATTAATTTTTGAAATTTTCAATTGAAATGTAGGAGGAACGCGTGAATCTATTGATTAAGACTTCAATAATAATCAAATTATGCGTATTATGCATTTCTAAAGTTCTAACCTAATCCTCTATAGACATAACCAACATCACAAGTTTTTGCATTTAAAATTTGTTTCTATTTTATTATTACTATGGTTTACAACCTAAATGATTTGTAGCCAACTTACAATGTTGACAAAAATTACCCCAATTTTTCAAGTTTATAACAAACTAGTCTCCAACGAATGACTTTCATAAATGTCACTTCGTAACATCTTACTTTCTGAGGAATAAAATATACCACATCTTTGAGCTCATTTGACATGACTTTTAAAAAGTCAAAAAGATCATTCGAGATCCAAAAGCAACTTTTGAACCTGTTTGACTAATTTTATGAAAATGTTTCTTCTAATTAGAAAGGTTTTTAGATGAAGTTGATCCAATATGATTTCCTCAAAAAGTATTTCTGGAATATGAAACTCTTTTAAAAATTAGTTTTCAAATAAAAATTAAGATAGCTTTCTTTAAAATCCCTTTTATAAAAAAGCAAAAGTAAAAGTCATATAAAAATTACTCATTTCTTACCAACAACAATGGTACACTTAATCCATGCATAGAGTCACACTCGATAGTACAACTTATTCGTTCATTAAGGTTTGGACGTCCTCCGCTCTAACCTCCACGTTCCAAATAACTTCTCAACTATGACATATCGAACATAGTACAAAATTTTCTTAAAATTAAGAAGAATTTTATTGTTAATAAAAAGAAAAAAAAAATGGCAGTGGGGGCAAGAACAGCTGGGAAATGGATTTATCTCCATACATTAAAGGAGGACATAACGGAGGACCACCTAATTGTTGCCGAATAAGTTTTAGTTACATGTGACTATATCTCGTTTGTGTGCACATCACATGCCCTCTTTTCGTTTCTCAACTGTTTTTCCCTTTCACCGTTCACTATTCATTTCTTTCTCATTCAATTACCTCTTCACTATCATGGACACATTCCATTGTAAAGTTTTCCGTTTCATCGAATTTCACTCGTCGATAACTTAACAAGTCATATAGTCTATATAAGTTGATAACTTACTCGTTTAACCTCAAGACATATCCGAAAGATAATCCAAAAGTGCATAGGGGCATGAGTATCGTATGGAATTTTTTTTTTTTTTTTTTTTTCAGTTTTACGGTTAAAATAGTTAATTGACCAATTTCTCATATTTTTATCGAATATAATAGATTGCATTTACTCGAGAGGAGGATGAGACTCGTTATATTTATAATGGAACTCATAGTCCCTGACTCCCTGTTTGAGCCACATTATTTTTTTTTCATTCTTGTTATTCTACTCATTTTCAACCACATAATTTTCAATAAAATAATATTTTCCATCACCTCAATAATTTTTCCTTCCTTTTCAACCACATATTCTCCATCACATCACTTCAAAAAAATACATTTTCTCATTTTAATATGCACCAAACACACTCATAATAATTAATTATTAACATAAAGACGTAATATAACAAATTACTATTCAAATTTGAAGGTGAATAGCAAACTTAGGAGGGGTAATAATAATATAAATGAGGTTAATTATAAGGTTCAAACCAGTGGTTCATCTTTATGTAACACAACTGGTTCAAATCCGTATTACAAAACGGGCGGGGCTTCGAATTCAATCACCAATTGTCCAAGTCATATCATTCTCAAAGATCCAGTGGCACACTTCAATCTTACCCGGAACCGAACCCAATGCAATGAAGGCTCCATGATCGGGGCTCCAAGAAGACGTATCCAAATGACAGATGGCAACACCATGGTTAATCTTGGACTTAGAATTCGGATCCAAAATATCCGCTTCGTAGACCCGGACTTTGGGAACTGAATGGCAGTAATAGAGCAAGTATGGGTATAGACTCTGATGGCAAGACACTGATCTCGTGACTTTTCCACCGTTGATCCCTTTGACTTTCCCAATCATGATATTACTATTATACCCTCGAGTGGTTTCCGTTGTTCGGACCGCCACTTTCCGCCCAAGCACCGAAGTTGCAAAGTCAATCATGTCCTCAATCGAGGCCACGCACCGCTTTGTCTCACCTTGGCTCGGGGCTCTCTCACACTCACTCAATGAATCCGCTAACATTTTAGCCATGCTAGAATCATCATCGCCCGCGTGGAAAATCTTCTTCAATTCTCCGAGCTTGGAGGTCGAAAAGGGTAATTTTGACACTATCACCCGGGGCAAAAATGACCTTTTAGGCATTTTATCCCGAATGTCAGGCATAGGCATCACATTCCCACCTTTCAACATCTCTTCTCTAAAGAATTTGCCAGGCTCAACCCATTTATTTACTTTCTTGCCACTCTTTGCAGCCAAAGTGGCGGTTGTCGGACCCGCCGCCGCCGTGGTTTCATTATAACGAGCAAATGTGACGCCCTTTTTCGTATACTCCTTGAAAGTATTGTTCACTCCATAAATTTTGAACCCCACTGTCTCACCAGAAGCATCTTTTCCATAACCACTGAATTTATCAGTACCTTCATTGAATGACTGCCCATAATTCTCAAAATTCACCGTTGCAGCATTGGAACCCTTGCCGTAGGTTTGAAAATTGTCGTCTCCGACGTTAGATTGATCTCTGTAACTCTTAAAAGTCTCCACCGGAACATTGCCGTCGGTGCCGTAATTCTTGAATGTGTTTTCTGGTACATTTCCGTTATTCCCGTACGAAGTGAAACTGTCATTTGCACCATTGCCGGTTTCACCATAATTGTTGAAAGTCGAGCCAATCACGTTGGAGTCTTTGCCGTAGCTGGTGAAGGCATTAACGGCGCCGTTGGCGCTTTTGCCGTAGCTGTTGAATTTTTGATCGCCGGAATTGGCCTCACCGCTATAAGATGTGAAAGATTGTTCCCGGCCATTGCCGTTGTCAGTATAAGAAGTGAAACGGAGATTAGGCACATTGACTTCGTTGTTGTAGTTGCTGAAGTCGCCGACGCCGCCAGTAGCGGCGGTGCCGTACGTATTGAAGCTGCCGTCCGCCACATTAGCATTGCTTGCATAACTAGTGAATTTGTCTTTATGTCCGGCAGAGTCACGGCTATAACGCCGGAACGTATCCACCGGAATATTTTGCCCGTCGGAGTAGTTCTTAAACGAGTCAACCCCGCCGGGTCGACTCGTGCCGTAGTTTGTGAAGTTCCTCTCATTGTAGACGGCAAAGTTTACATCCCCGTCGTGCTTCTCAAGACTCGGCGTTAAATCGGAGAAGCAGAGGAGATTAGCCTTTGTGCAGAACTCGGGAAGGTGAGTTGAAAGTGAGTTCTGATCAGCAAATTTCGAGAAAGCTGCAAATTGCACCGAGTCCAATGGTGAAGCTTTATTGAGTAAAAACAATGGCTTTGGCGAGTCACTAGAGATCTGTTTCTTCCAGTAACGCGTCACATAACCCTTCGGCGTAAATGGGTTTTCTCCTGCACCGGAACTCTCGCCGCCGGCCGCCACCCCCACCTGCATTCACTCATTTAAATTAAAACCACACAAAATCACAATACGCAAGAAAGATGAAAACAAAGCAATCTAGAACAAGAACAATTTCTTACAGTGAAAAGTAGGAACAGAGGGAAGAAGAATATGGAGTGCATTTCTTTAGTGAGAGAAAGGAGAGAAGAGTGAGAATGTTGGTGGGTTTATTTGGTTGGAGGCACCATTTTTATACTGTGAGTTTCAGTGAATATGGGTCGAGAGAGAAACAATAGTGGGGTGTGGGGGTGTCATTTTAAATAGGGTTTTGGCCCTTGTGAGAAAATTGTTGCAGAATTGCTTTTATAAGAACTCATTTTTTATGTTTGATTTGGTAATATAAATTTGTAAGAATGATTTTAACTGCAACTTTTTTTTTTTTTCTTTCACTCGTAATTTGGTCTTTTGTCTAATTATACTATAGAAGCACGATCTCATTAATACTCATTTTGGACTTTTTTTTTTTATTACCTTCTCTCTCAAATATCTATAATGACATGATATATATATATGTTATGCTAAGTTTTGTCTAAAGTTGAAGCTCCGGAGAGTAATGGTGTGTAGATTGGCCTAGATGGCTCAAGGACGGAAGGATTCAAACCTCCAAATAACAGGATTAGCATTTGAGTAGTAATTAATGGTAAAATGTCGCTAGCTCTTATATTTCATACGGTTTGTAGAAAATGTAATTTAGAAAATTCAATTATAGTAATTAATAATTGCGCGTGTTACACATGATAAAAAAAAGTGTTAGAAGTAAGTTATGATCAAAACCATGTTAGGCCATAACAACATTGATGATGTTGAATAGACCATACACTCCATATAGGCACCAATACACCAAACACGATCCTCGTTATGTTAGACTTCTGACCTTAAGTGATCACATCGTACTTACAAAATGTGAAAAATTTAAAATTGAACCAAATTATTTGTGAATTCGACTTTCCAATCTTGATTTTTCACATTGATTTATACATCAAAGTGTATTGACTTGTCTACTCTTTCCTCGTTAACAGCCAAAGAGACTCTACAATCGCATACTCACACATTTTAACATTAGGGCTTGTTTGAGGAAAAAAATTAAAGTTTCATCAATTTTCAACTGGTCAAATGTCAACGTTAACCACATATTTAAAGGGATCCACTATTTTTGTCAATTTTTTAATCATACATTTAAAATCTACTAAAGTTTTTATCAAAAGTCTTTAACATACAACCCTAAAAGAAAACTTTTCTTGACCAAATTATTTACTTAGAAAATCCTAATAAATTAATTGCATTACACAAACATCAAGAAAGGGGCCCTAAAGTTTGGAAGAGTGATGGTGGAGAGGTTTCGAGGTTAAGATATGGTGACAAGAATTCAAAGAAGACGCGCATAATTAACATGTGTAAACCAGTGATTGGTCATACGTCTTCCTTCAACTGGATTCGAACGCGTTTAGGCACCTGTAATGGGTTTTGTTTTTATACTGCGAAGGTTTTCTCAAAACTTTATGTGATCCACTCACTCACTTCATTACAACAATATTGAATTAGAATTGTACATTCTGCCCCAAAGGACAAATGCCCGTGACCAAGGGGAAAATTCTGAAATTTTAATAGGTTTTCAAGGATATATTTGACAATTCACTAATATTTCAACTATTTTACATTCTCTCCATAGTCGTTGGGTTTCGACAACTTCAAGTAAGCAATAATAGTGTGACTTTTATCGTCGCTATAGTTACAATGTTAGCAAAAAGACAATGACGAAGTTTCCCGGACGTCGAACAAAGAAGAATGGACGTGCTTTCACATAAAGTTGAATTTTTAATTTGACGTGCAATCATGTCTTTCAGTCCAACTATTTAAGAAATTGTGAGTCTATTATTCGAACATAGGAGAATAGACGACCTTTCATGATAATCGAGTAATTGATTTTTGGAATTAAGGAGATGGGGGAGTAATGCCCCCAATCAACTTCAATCTTGTCACTGTCTATTATTTACTCTAATTTCTTTCCATTTAGCATTTCAAAAATGGTGGATTGACAACATATTGTATCACTATGCAGGAAAAGAAAAGAAGTAATTTTATATGACGTTTCGTTGATAGATTTGACATAACCATCGAATAGGTAAAGTGATGGCTAGGACAATTAACTGGTCGAAACTCACGAAAGTTTAGTGAAGTTAGGATAAACTTTAGTTACAATGTTGTCTTCTCACTTTCCACCATTTTGCATTATTAGTTGAGTTAGGATAAACTAAGTTCCTGTTTGGCAGAGATTAAAATCGATTTTTTAATAAATTTTGATTAAATTTGATGAAATGTATTGTTAAAAAATTGTGGATCCCATAAAATATATGGTTAAAATTAATTTTTAAATTTGACTTGAGATTTTAGTTGAGTTTTAATCGAAACCAAACAGGGTTTAATGAATTTGTACATTTTGTCCAAGAGGACAAATGCCCGTGAGCCCGTGACCATGGGGGGCAAAATCTGTAATTGTATTAGGGGTTAGAGGATAGATTTGACATTATACAACACCTTATCTAAGCTTGCAGTCGGATTTACGAACTGTTACACTTGCAACAATTTCTAACTTTGTCTTACTGTACATTCTCTGGTTTAGTTGATATCCGCAATCTATTTTTTGGTAAGTTGAGTGGACCATACTCATCAACAATTCTTAATCCCTGTTTGATTCACATTTTTCAATAAAGTAATATTACACATAAATTCAAAAAATTTCATTACTTTTTAACCACATATTTTTCATCACATCACATCATAAAATACATTTTCTTCTCGATAATGTGCATCAAACACCCCCTTACTTTTAATTCAGAACTCACTTATAAGTAAATGAATTAAGCACTTTTTGCATTAGCATTAGATTGTTACCCAATTTAGAAAATCAAATTATGCTTAAAAGTACTTTTATTTTAAACAATTTAGAGGCATACTTTTTCCATGTACATGAAAATAATAATCAAAATTCGATTCAATTCTCAATTAGCCTAGTGAAATAGCTAAGAAGTGGCCCCCATTACTTAAAGTGCATTACGTGCCCATTTAATAAAAGACCCGTTTACATTTGCAGATGAAGTGTTTTAACCTAATTTAAACAAAGTGATTCCAAGTACTAACGGTCTAATTTTAAACATACATTTTGTGTCGGAATTAACTCAAAAGGTCACTTTATGATCATGATTCTCAATTATTCACATCAATACTCATGATTGGACATTATTATTCTTTGTTTTTGAATTAGCTCTATTAAAGGAAGTACAAATTTAGGGAAACAAATATATATTATCCCCTATACCACAAGTTTTTTTGGCATTATACATCACACATTAACACAAGTTTAACATGCTCTAACTGAATACAAAGATAACATTAAGAGATTAATGATATCTGATCATTGCACATTAACGACTAACATGTATTTACGAGAAACCAAGTGTATAAAATTCTGTTAGTCACAATTGTAAACAGTACGTTGCTATCTATATTGCATGCAAAAGGCACAACATCTATCATGATAAAGAAAAGAAAAAAGGGAAGGGAAAATTTGCACATGAGAAGAAGATAGAGCGGAAAATAATCGCATAAGCAATAAAAGGTAAGAGATTTTGATGCAAGTCATGGTGAGAATTGGTTGTGACATTAAATAATAATGCACATTTTATCAAGAAAACCCCACATGACCACAAGGAGAGAAAAAGAAAGTGTGAAGAACAAAAAAGAGAAGAAAAGAGATTAAAAAAACTAAAAGAAAGGACTATGTCATTTGAATTTAGGTAAAACGAAGTTGAGAGAGACATAAGAGTATGTAATTTGAATGTTTTGGTAAGTGAATTGATTCTTCTTTGTTTTAAGTGTTACGATTTTGTTGAATTTGCACTTGACTTTCTATTGTGCTTGATCGCATGCAGTGATTATTTTATTTTATTTATTTTTATCTCGATATTGCTATTGATATCTTGTAGACAGTTATATTTGTCGAACGACTCTAGTTGATGACACGACTTTTCATAAGATCAATGAACTTAAATCATGTCACATGTAAAAATAGTCAAGCACAACCAAATATGATACAGTAAATACTTTATTACATGAGAAAGACTTGATTAATCTTGAATTTTCAATGCATTCATAGTTGACAATTACTCTAGCACAACTGCTCGAAAAAGACATACGTACATGCCGACTAAAGAAAATCAGAAAATCACTTATTTATGTTCCTCTCACTTATTCGAATTTCATGTGGCCATATACTCGTTGGTAAAAGCTGTATTTAGTTCTCATGATATCAGTGTAGAAAATATGTTCCCAATTTTTAGCTTATTTTTAGTTTTTACTTTGTGAACATCAAAAGAAGCAAGAATTAATTGATTATGGGGACAGTGTTGAAACTTAAAGCTGCTTCTTCTGGAATTAGACAAAATAAATAAAAATAGAAGCAATCTGAGAAGAATGTGCTTTTAGCTTTTTCACCGTTTATTGCTTAAAATTAATTAGGAGGGAAAAATAAAAAAGCTGCATTCGAAAGAACTATATACAGATTGCCATCCAAATTCAGGTGTATTATTCTTTCTTTTGACTGTTGCTTTTTTAAGGAACAACTCAAACTTTGGTTAAATGATGTTGTCTCAAATTAAAGACGACTAGTAAGAAAACCAAAAATAACTCCATCCCGAAATTCCTTATGCTCCTTAAGAATCCTATGTTCCAGATCCAAAGTCAACCAATATATTAAATCACCAATCTTAATCTCGAGTTCACACCTTATATTTTCGATATTTGTTGTCCCAAAAGTTCAAAAATATATGAAAACATGGACATTGTCACATTCGTAATCACCAATAAATAAAGAAGAAATATTATGATAACTAACATCTACTCCTCCACAATTAAGGAATGAATAGTCCCCAATATTTGTTCAATAATCAATTAACAAATGGTTCAAAAATAAAATAAAATCATTTTTTTTAATATTTATATTCATGGGGGGACTTCAATATACAAAATGTGAGCAAAATTATTGGAATCCATATAATAAATGAAAAAATATATACAACAAGATTTCTTCATTTTTCTATGTCATTCAACAAACAATAATTTATCA